GCAGGTTTACCTAATATCTTGCAGCCCTAGTCGACAGTTTTTTCTGCTGATTAATTGCACATGATACGATTTTGCCCAACCTTAATTTGAAGGTACACCAGTGTTTTTTATAGTTGGAAGTAACAAATGGATTATTGACAGCTGAAGGTCTTTGYTCTTTCTCTGTTGCATTGCTTTAGCCAGAGGACTTTGGTTGTTAAATGTGTCATGAACTCAGGCGTCTTCAAAGGCACCTTGAAGAACCACTTTATGTTCCCCCTGGGAAGAGGGGGGCTTTGAGTTGTGCCTGATGGCTCCAACTGTCAGTCTGAAGCAAACTTGAGCRTAGTAGCTGTAGCTTCACACAACCAGGTTTCTGTTATGTTCTGTTTCGTTGAAATTGGAAATGGTGGTTTAATAAAAGTACGGCTGCTGAATCCAAAGAAACCCAAACTCTCCCGTGGTGCCCACAGTATGAATCCCCCCCTTCTCCTGCTGCTGACTCCTCCATACTGGATATATCATCTCAGTCAAAAGTTTTTCTAGAAACTGAAATTGCATGACTGGAATGTCCTGATWGTTTAAAGTTGTATCGTGATTTTGAYCCACGTCTCCTTAACTTTACTGTCRATTCTCCTCTGTACAGCCTGATATGTGCAGCATTTTTTTTTTGCCCTACTCGCCTCTTCTCATGTATGATTCCATAAACATACTACAATAACATTTTCTTTCAGCTCTCAAACAATTTTTGTGGAAAGCCGATCCTCCCAAGAGCCAGTGATTAAAGGTYGAAGATCAAAACAGAGAAAATATTAAATTAGGTCCCCAGTAACAATGTTGACGGCCGGCACCTAATGCACAACAGATGTTGGTGCCCTTAAAGACATGCATAACTCTCCCYCTAGCTCTCCTTCCCAAGTTCCCACTGAAGCTCCATCAAAATAGAAAGAAAACTTCAAAGTTGACAAATATACAGTGGTCTTAAGAGACTTTTCCACTCAAAAAATCAGCACAGCGAGGAAGGAAATGTAGCTTCTTTCAAAGTGATTTCACAAAAAMAAGTTTTGATTGGCTAATAAGAGAGCCAGTGTTTGTAGTGTGGGCTTTGGTCTGGTCCGGGGGAATCTTTTAGCTCGTAGYAGCTGGTTTTGAACGCTGTGATCTCCGTTTCACTGCTCACCTCATCACTCCCCACAGCATGCTGCCCTTCTCAACTTTAAATGCAGCAGGTCACTCTGAAATTGTTAAATTGGGTGTAGAAAATGGTGCTTGGCTCCCCACTGTGCCGTCAGTATTTATAATCCAAAATCTGCTCCTTCTCACAGTGTTTTCTTTGAAACGCTGAAGAGTGTGGCCACCAGCCAGCTTTTAAAAGTATGTTGGGTTATTAGATGTCCTTTTTTTCCTGCGAAAACTTCATACTAAAATAGCATACTTATGAATTTTCAAAACATTTACTTTGATTTTCATTACTCCAGCTTACTTAACTTTTTTTTTCAAGCACGATTAAGTCTCTAGCTCTACAGCCTTTTAAACATTTGGAATGTCATGGTATTAGGTTTGATAATCTGAACTAAATCAGACCATTAAAAATCACATTGAACAGGAAATTAAATTATTTGAATTGAGGTCGTTTAGGAGCAGTACATAAATGTGTGAATTTCAAAATAATTTGTCTATATTTGAATTAAGCTGACATTCAAATGAAGATTTAAATCTTACAAGTTTATATGTTTTAGT